TGGAAGCTAACCTCTTCTTTTTCCTCTGCTCCTTGTTATTTAAAACTTCAGGCAATGAGCCAAAACAAACAAAAACCAACTCACTGGGTTGAAAATCAGTATCACTTGAGGGCACTATTCATATATGTAATGTTCAGATTTTTCCCTTTGAGTCCAGCTCCCAGCTTGAGCCCATCTTGATGAATGTTTGTGGCACGTTGTGGCTCATACAACTCAGCAACCAAGGGAGCATGGCTTATGTGGGAAACATGGATCAACAAAGGAGGTGACTGATAATTTTCTTGAAGTTGTACCAATGTTAACTCCAAAATGTATCTTTGTGAAAAACGAGGTTCACATAATTTTTTTAGAATTTAAAAGTTTAATAAAAAAGACAATTAGGAGAAAAAAATAAAATAAAGTATACAGATATGGCTGGGTGTCTTTGCATTCAGCTAAGAGAGCACACCTTACAAACAAAGGATTGTCCCTTAAAAACAGAACCCTACTACATATCCATAAATTCTCATACATATTCATACATTCTTCTTGGGATATTTGGTGTTCTTATGTTTGGTTTTCTCTTGCCCCCTTCCCAATAGATCAATCTTCTTGGCGCCATCAGATTTACATTCCTTGATACCAGAAATGGAATAAATTCCTCCCCCCAGAGTTCTGGTCACTGCTGTCTTCATCTGGATAAGATAGTTTACAAATGCAGGAGTTCTCTATTTTTTTTTTCTCAGTCTTTGGGTTATACAAACAAAAGCAGTTTTTATATTAATACTATGCCATAGCCTAACATATATGTATTGTACTACTATTTCTAAGTTTCATCAATAACAGAAATAAAGAAAACTATATTAATACAACAAAATTTCCCATTCTTATACACATAACATTCATTTTAATATTTGCAAAAAGCCAACAATATAATATGTATCTATAACAATCTTTATTGAGCTTCCTTTTTTCCCCACACAGTAATCAACACTTTATTTCAGTAGCAGAAGCCTTTCATTCATACATTTAACTTCTTTTGGTGTACATTCACTTTAATTTTCTGTTGAAAATCCAATATGTAGATGTATGTACAGTTGATACTTGAAATTAAATTAAATCCTCACTTCCTCTTGAATCACCCAAAATGTCACATCACAAAAGCAATTCAGAGCAAACCAGAATTTCCAGAATTAGGATTCTGGAATTTTCTTTAGAATTCCCACAAGTGGTGTTCTGGAAATGCCTCAATTTTTTTTCACTGAATATAAGAACACCATTTTAATAAAGATAATTTATTTTAAATTTTTTTTTTCTCGCTCCACAGATTCAAGTGAATAGTACTTAAAAAAACAACCTTTGGCCATTTAAGTGTGTAAACTGTAAGCATCATTTGAACATACTGCTCATTCTAACACTAAACACATGATTACAGTGAAAGCAAATTAATTTCCAATGGAGCAAGGTATCCAGCAGCAGCCTGGGACTGCACTAAGGTTCCTGGATAATATGAATGTGTTGGCAAAGGGGTTTGCAGCTTCCTTTTATGTCTGCCAGCTTTCCCTTGACTGCAGCTGTGTTCTGCCTGCATTGAGTCAGAGCCACTTCCACTTTTTATGGCCAGTCTGGAGTGGGAAAAATAAACCAGAATCAGTGGTGGAAAGTGTTTTGCTTTGGTTTTTCTGTATCTAAGATATCTACATATATGGATGCTAGCTTTGGAGCAGGCTGCAGGCCCATGGCCTCTCAGTCCTGCCTGAGAAGCTAGCCTGGGCAATTCATAGGAGGATTTCAAAACAATCCTCAGAGGCAGAAAACAACTGCCAGGTGCTGTTTGTCTGTCCTCTTGTTCTCCTTGCAGGAGGGAGTCAGGGGGGTGGTGAGCCCCCCCTGACCAATGATGGTGATGTAACACTTTGCTAACCAATAAGAGTTTCTTTTCTGTACCTTCCACGTACCAGTCTATAAAACAGGCCTGAAGTAATAAACGAGAGAATTCTCGTGTTGTGACTCCCTTGAGAGTCCATGTCGTTCTTTATTGCCGTTCCCACTCAGAACGACATACATGTGTCCATAAAAGGAAGCAGGGTTCAGTTGCATTTTAAAGAGCTTTTCTGGACTAGCATTAACTTCTGTGTCCATGCAGTTTCCATCCCACCACTGATTTTTCTGATAGTAAACTGCATGGGCATGGCTACCTGCTTCTGGAAATGGGACTTCATTGAAGTGAAGGAAACTCCTTGTGCCAGGAGTAGTGCTTGTTTTGTTGCACAGTATTTGCCAACGCGTGAAACAAGTTTTATTTTGTTAGCTGCTTTCTGTGCAAAGCAATAGCTGTCTCACATGTAATTTATATATTTGGAAACACCTGCATGGCTTGGTGTCAGCTGCAATGTTTCTTCATAGTCACATTGGGTCACAGATGGCAAGGGAGGCAAAAAGAGATTATCTTTTGGGAAAAGAACCCATGCCTGCATTTTCCTAATCCAATTCATGATTTCTGTGTAATTGGGTGGTTTTACTTCACAAAGCATAAGACGCTGCTGGCATGCAAACTTCAGGCATCTCTGACCTTTTTTGAGCTTGATAATTCAGAAGTTTTCTGTTCTGCATTACAGTTGTGCTATGTGACTTTGAGAGAGCTGTTCTTTGATGGGATCTTGTATGAGGCATCTCTCTTGAAGCAAGTTAAAACCTGTGTGCTAAAACATGGTGATTGCATCTTAATCAATACTGAGACACAGTGAATTAATCTGTGTACAGCCCTTAGGGGTTGGTGTAGGATTACTTTCTGTGCCTGAAAGACTGTACACCTGCAAGGAATAGAAGCACAACAGTGGACTGGAGCTTGTGGTTGTGCATGGAAACTCAAATCTGTGCTATACACCTGTGTATTTCTATATATATGAGCAGGGAAATCCCTAAACATCTCTGGAAGTTAATCATTTGGGCTAATAAACTGCACATAGGGCTATTAACTTGGTTGCCATTCAGGAACATGCCATGATTTTCTTGATATCTTCTGCTTCTCAGTTGCACAACTATTGCTGAATACAAAATGGTTGTGTTTCAATGCTTTAAGGTCCATTCCAACCTAAACCATTCTATGATTGTAGGATTTCTATAACAACAAAAACAATATACATACATATATATATATATACACATACATACATTTATATATATATAATTTTATATTTTTATATGTATATATTTTTATATATATATAATATATATATATATATTAAGCTTCACAGACCAGATGCAGCAAAACACCTAACTGTGCAGGCAGTGTTTGAACAAATACTGAGATTCCACCAAAGCAGATGGTTTTTAAGCATGTACTTTGCAGACCTCCGGGGTGTAATATTCAGCCAGTAAAGAATGAGATGAAAAACCCACATTTCCAGTTTTAGTACCATCATAAAAATGAGTGCAAATATTTTTACACACAAAATGTGAACATTGTGACCACTTTGTGCCTTTTCTGCCCCATCATGCGCTTCTTCAGGACTTCTGAGGTCTTAATAGTGACCTTAGCCCTGCCATACTGCAAGAGGCTCTTCAGTTTGCTGCAGCAGAGTTAAGGTTTTAAATTCACATATTTGATATGGCACATATTTGATATGCCTTCAGGTACTGTGGAATGTAGAACTCTGAGGCAAAACATTGGAGGAACTAAATCCAGATGTTGCAGTCTTACTGGTGGAAAGTGGTCATTCTCTTCTAACATGCTAACACATGCTTAAACTGATGAACTTCTTGAAAATGGGAGGAATTCTCAAGCATTTTTTCTCTGATTTGAAGGATAGGTTAAATATGAAAGGAGCTTTCACTTTCCTCCCAGTATTAAGAGTAGCCAGTGCTCATAGACTACATAAGATGTTGCCTGAATTCATTTAATTCATGTTGTTTTGGTGTGCTCAAGGCACAGTGTCATTATAGTTGTGAGGTGACTTTTGGTTTTTTGTTTTTCATTTGCTCTCTTCTTTTTGTTATTCTATGAAACCTGCCATGCAGCTGAAATTGGCTATTATTGCTGTATTTTTAGGGGTTTTTTTCTGTTCTCCATTTCCCAGCAGCATTAAAAAAGTTGGAAATGTGGTGATCTTTGCACTATAGGCTGGGGGCAGAGTGGCTGAACACGGACCAGGTGGGGCCAAGGAGGCCAAAGGCACCTGGTCTGTGTCACCAATGGTGTGGCCAACAGGACCAGGACAGTGACCATCCCCCTGTACTGGGCACTGGTGAGGCCACACCAGTGGTGACATTTGCTGGGTCCAGTTCTGGACCCTGTAATTCAGGAAGGACATTGAGGGGCTGGAGCATTTCCAGAGAAGGGGAACTGAGCTGGGAAGGGCCTGGAGCACAAATGCTGTGAGGGGAGGATGAGGGCTTAGCCTGGAATAAAGGAGCTCAGTGGGCACCTACTCTCTACAACTCCCTCAAAGGAGGGTGTAGCAAAATGAGGGTTGATCTCTTCCACCAGGCAACAAGCAGTGGGATGAGAGGACGTGGTTTTAAGCTGCACCAGGGCAGGGACATTGGCAAGAATTTGTATTCACAGAAAGGGTGATGACACAAAGGAATGGGCAGTCCAGGGAGGTGGAGGAGTCGCTCTCCTTGTAGGTATTTAAGACTGGACGTGGCACTTGGTGTCATGTTATAGTTGAGATGGTGGTGATAGGTTAGACTCGATGATCTCAGATGTCTTTTCCAGCCTAGCTGATTCTGTGATCTAGGGGAAGACGTGGACAGACACGCTGTCCCGGCCCGCTCGGTGCCCTGGCTGAGGTAGGGCCGGCGCAGCAGCTCCGGGCTCACGGACCAAGTGGGGACCCCTCACATCTCCGGACCGGGCACCACCGGCGATTCCCGGAGGGCAGCGGGCAGCAGGAGCCCCTCGGGAGGGACAACACCCGGCACAGGCCACGGGGGAGACCCCGCAGGTCCCACACGCCCGAGCGCCACCCCCGGAGGCGAGGCGGGGCCGGCAGCGGGAGGAGGAGACTCGGCTCGGAGAATTGTCCCCGTCCCATTCCTGCTCTGCCTGCTGCTGCTGGTGCTGCTGCTGGTGCTGCTGTCCCTTTGCAGCGCCGGGCCGGGCGGGGCCGCCGTGTGGAGCATGGGGAGCTGCTGGCTGCTCCTCGCCGCGCTGCTCGGCCTGGGCGCCCGGGCCAGCCTGGAGTACGAGGGTGAGGAAGGGGCGGCGGGGCCGGGGAGCGGGGCCGGGCCGGGGCCGCTGCACTGAGTTCTAGCATAGAAATGACAGCACCGGGCTCTGCTTTCCCCACGAGTCGTGTTCACCGCTGCTTTCTCTGCCAGAACTTTGCAGTGGCATAAGGCCATGCTTTCTGAGAATCTTTCTTCAAAGTCCTTATCAGGAATATTAGAAGGTAAATTATCCATCAGTTTAGCAGCATAAAAAATACACTAAGGTAGACAGAGTGACTTTCTTCAGACAGACACACTTTGTTCAAGTGCTCTTTCGGGTAAGGTCAGTTTACAGAAGCAGAAGATATGGGCTTATACCCCAAAAATGATTGTTGTAAAATGGCTTTCCAAAATGTCTCTTTTTAATACTCCACTAAGCCATGTCTCTAGGAGCCACATCTTGGTATCTTCTAAATACCTGCAGGGATGCTGACTCAACCACTTCCTTGGGCAGCCTGTTCCAATGCTCTTGACAACCCCTTCAGTGAAGAAAATTTTACTAATAGCTGTTTTAAACTTCCCCTGGCCCAGCCTGAGCCTGTTTCCTCTCCCTCATCCTGTTGGTTATTACCTGGAAGAAGAGACATGCCTCACTTGGCTACAGCATCTTTTCAGGGAGTTAGAGAGAGCGATGAGCCTCCTTTTCTTCAGGACTAACAACCCAGCTCCCTCAGCAATTCCTTATAGAACTTGTGTTCCAGAACTTCACCTGTTTCAGGGCAGTAAACTGAAAAGTTTCAGGTTGGTTTAATGTGTTATGCTGTTGTCTATAGCTTACTTTAAATTAAACTCAAAAGAGGTAAATAATTCTTATGTCAGTCCTGGGAAAGCAAGTGTGCATAGCTCTTCTGCCTCTTTTGTGTCACATTCCTTCTTTTTGTCTTACAAAGGATTTACAGCACAATAGTATGTGAAGTGTTGTTCATGTGTATGCAGTGCCTGGCTTGGCACTATGTTCTTGTGCCCTGACCTTGATGTCAGACCTGTACAGGTGAACCTTTGCAATAGGGACAGAACTTTATTTTGTGAATGAAGAAATCTTTTTTGTTTCCAGACATACACAGAATTATGTAAAGCCATAGATTAATCTTAAAATTAAAGTGTTATTTCATGCATTTCGCTTGACATCTGCCAGAACAAAGTCCACACCTGTTTTTGGCAGGAACCTGCAATACCTCGGACTTCAACACAGAACAATGCTTTGTCCTTACATGACTTGACTTTGAATGTGTGTGAAGCAGAAACAGTTTGATTTGTGGCTGAGAAAATGGAGATGAAGTGGCGACCTCTCCTGTGGCTCCCCAAGCCAAGCCTGTTGTGGTTATTAAGAAAACACTGATTGTTGGGGAAGAGACCTGACTCACTTCTCATTTTGAGGTGGAAAATGACCTGGAAATGGGAGATGTCAAGCTCCATCAAGAGCCTTGTTTCAGAGCAAAAGTAATGAATTAACTCCTTAAGGCCAGTTTTTCTTAGAAAACTTTCAAAAGCACTTTGTTGTTTCTTGTCTAAGGGAAGGCATTTGCTTAAGAGCTCACATAATTCTACGATTCACCAATTTTAAACGCTAAAGTCACTTCACAGTAAAATTTGGATAATTATTAGTGAAAACACTAAGGTAAGAGTTTTATAACCCACAAAGTGAGTAATTAGCTAAGAAAATTCTGATTTCTGGCAGAAAAATTGATGCTTAGAGACGTATTCATTTACATATCAAGGTCTTCCTGAAGCCCTCAGGGATCACAGCTTGCTCTTTTTGCTATGCAGTCAGATTTCAAGTGCAAAAAAGTTTGGTTTTATGTTCAGAAGTCTCTCAGATGTCAGTGTTGAGGTATCAAAATTGAACCTCAACAATAAATATAAAACATCCAGAGAAATTATACTGAGTGATAAAAAGACTTTGTTGTGTATAAGTCCCTCCGTTTCAGAGGAGAAGTTGTTTGGAAATTCACTTCTTCAGGTCCCAGCTCAAACTAGTGGAGGGATTCCCAGAGATCCAGTGTTGAGGAAGATACTTCCATAGAGCAGCTGCAGATTCATGGGCTGGGTTTTCTTGAGTCTGGTAAAGTAAGAAATCAAGTTTCATCATTTTCTGGGCAGATATTTTGAGTTTTTTAATAAGAAACGGAGTCTGTTGACAGAAATAAAACTCTTGGCTTTGATTTTTGCTCAACAGTTGCATGCTTTGCACGTGGAATCGGTAGCTTTTTGAGGTGCCCGAATTAAATAATTTTGCCTAACTTTAAGCAGCAGCTTGTACAGACTATAGTCTCAGTAGTCAAAAAAAGGTGATGAGATTACGCCAAATGCTGTAATTGAGATACCATGTGAGCAGCTCCTGTGGTAGCTGCCTATTGCATGCAAAGTTTTTAAAAGGATATTTCAAAGGGGGAATTTGTATGAACCCTTCTTTGTCGAAAATATTTATCTAGAATTTAAACTAGACTTCATGCTCTGAAGTTGCTAATTTTAAATAAGTGTTGTTTAAGGAATTTTGAAGGCTTTCTTCCCAACTGCTTTGTTTTATTGATGGATTATTTGAGTAGTAGTGCTCCAACTGGTTTCTGGTTTTTAGAAAGCAGCTTTCACCTTTATTTTAAGTTTTCAGCCATTGCACTGGGTTTTAAAAGTATGGAGCTTTGTTGTCTCATTATTTGAACAATGCCAGAAGAATGCTTGAAACCAAACTCATTTTGATTTGAATGTAACTTGTATTTGCAGGTGTGCACCTCTGTGTCTTGTTCTTGGTGTGAGGATCTTACAGATCATTAAGGATGGTTGTACTTGAATTATTTACATGTTACTTCTGCTGTTTGGCCTGATGGCTGTTAACAGCCATTGACACTATGGAACCACTTTATAGTGAAACCTCTGATGAGGCCCTTCACCTGTACCTGCTCTGCTCTCTCTGCTCAGTAGATCACCTACATGGTAGGTGGGCTCTCCGTGACAGAGGAGCTGTGGCACGTGACACTTAACATTGCACAGCATTGCTCTGGGACCACAGAGAGAAATTTACTATTTCACTTCATTATCAAATCAATTTGCCCCTTCCAAATTCACTATAAAGTGGGTCTGCTATGACTCTGAGCTTCAGAGAAGCCCATGCTGATGACATTGCATAGATTATTGCATCCTAATCTTGCATGTCTTTTCTCAAAGCTTTCTTTCATTTTTAATTTGTATTTCCTTTCTTGCTGTAGTTTTTTCTCTTATTTTGTATTGTAGGATCGGGATATTCACTCCTTGAAGATGATGAGGATGTTTATGCACGCAGTAGATACAAAGGTGAATGCTTTGCTTATGTGCTAAGAAGGATCAACTGCTTGCTGACAGAAAGCTTCATTCCTTTTTCTTTTTGTGGATTATACAGTCTTGGTGATCCAGCTCCATGTTTTTTCTCATGGATATTTAGATCAAGATTTAATTTCTGCTGTTTTTAACAATGGAAATTAGACCAATTATTGATCACAGCTCTTTCATGTACCTGAGTAAGTAACTTTTACATTGCCTTTGCTCCTGGGAGATCAGGTTGTTGAATTATGAAAATCAGGAAGAGCTTCTCTTTCTTATCCGTACATGCTAACACAACCATCAATGATAAGCTGAGTCAAAACCTGGGCTTACAGATGGTAATGTATAGAAGTACATGCAAGAGAACTTGATTTTCATTGCTTTTTTCTTTCCATAAACTTGCTTGCATTTCAGATGTAAACCTGCTACCTGAAGTGCCAAGTGAAGCGTGTCTAACAAATGCATGTGTGCATTCCAAAACCAAATTATGTAGCTGGATGAGTGAATGGCTGGGCATATTTAAAAAGCAAATTCAGATTTTCTTCCCTATTTTGGAAGACTTTGCCATTCAGCATGAGTGAGAAGTTTTTTGCTACTACTAGTAAATATTCCGTTTGCTTTGTCCATTTTCTAAAAAGTCTCATTTTGTCTTAATGTCACTCTTCTCTGCCAAAAGGCTTCCCTCAGAAGCCTAGACATTAAAGAAAGGTATGGCTTCATGTAATTTAAGTGGTTACTGTGTATCTTTTTAGTAAATTAATCTGTATACATACTAGAGTTGTCACCATTTTGATTACTCGAAAATACTGGTCATTGGTGTCTTGTACATTATTGATTCTCTGCAAAGAATCAATGGGCCATATGAGAGGTAAGTCATAAAATAATTCAGACATTTATGAATAGCCAAGGGGAAAGCACAGGTTTTACGGCTCTGTTGCTGTTTTCATAAATGTCTCATCTTCCTTCCAGTAAAATACTCAAGTATAAAATTTTGATTTCAAACACAAGTAATTCTCTAAATCTTTATTTAGGATAAGTCATTTTTCTTTGCCTTTTAACATGTAATTCTCTGCAGACACATAGAAAATGAACTCAGAGATCGTGAAGAAAAATCAATGCCAGGGCAGGCAAGTAGTTAAAATGTGGATTCTGTGCAAATTCCTTTTGTATGGTGATCCAAAATGGATTATACTCATGTCAGCCAAAATGTCATCAGGGTAAGTGAAACAGAATGACTCGTTCACACAGATATTAAAAACTGCCCCAAGTTTGGAAGCACTACTGCCAAATGTTGAGGAACAGACAATGAATGTAAGAGTATAAAGCATTGGAACAGAAAAGGCTGATTCTTCATTAGCATACTTCTTTATGTTGGTTTTGGGGGGAAGGGGATGGAGAAAGACAGCAAGGAAAAACGGGCTGTGTAGCAGACTTCAGAGCTTCTCCTCAGATGTGCAGTCCAGCATTTTGGGTGTGGCCCATTTCTTAGTAAATAAAACTTACCAATAACAGGAACTGAATTGATTTTAGTAATTGATGTTCACATATAAAAGCAACATTATTTTTTTTTTCTTTGTACACATGTGCAAGGCAGTACACAGATTCATTCTCTTTGACATCTGCAAACAAAACATTGCAGTTTACTGGGAGGAGTGAAAATCAGTGTCCTACTAAACCATCTTTTCTTCATCTGGATGTTTTCCCACTTGCTCAGCTTTCCAGAGAAACATGGCCAAGATTTTCTGTGCCTACAGCATTTTTAAGGAGTTTTTCCCCTCCTTCCTGGTGAACCATCAGCTCTGTTGGCTGGTGTAGCAGCAAGCAGCAGTACAGCTGGTCACTTTGTGTGCTGTTTGTGAAGGAAGGGCTGAGCTGAGGCTGGTTTTTAAACAGGACCAAGGGGCTGGGAGGGATGATGCTTTAGAAAGTGCTTTCCTTGCTGCTACTTGGCATCTCTGGTCATATTTCATGAGGAAAGGTTTCCTGAATACAGCAGTTCCTGTGTTCATCACAGCTCCAGTGCCGCTGCTCTGGTGATCCTCATTCCTAATATTTCTCAGATACTGTAATGATCAAGCAGTATCCATAGCTCTAAAAGCAACATTGGGGCTTCAACCATTTCTCTTTGCTGCCTTTTTTCCAGGGGTTTCAAACATGGAATTGAGTTTCTGGAATGTTTTACTACTAAGTGAAAATTCTGACTATTGGATTGCTGGGATATTGAGGGACTTTTCAGTTCTTTTTTGTGCTGAGGTGCAAACTTTCTGTTAAACCAAAAAGCACTATATAGATCTTGGTATCTAAAAACTCAAATTTCAGTTGGTTGAACAGAGCCTGTTATAGATGATGAAGTTTCAGAAAAGGTGTCTGGGAAACCTCTAGCTTTTATAATCCCCAAAGCCTTCAGGAACATGGCTGATCCTGCCCTCAGGCTGGGAACAGCTTGTATAACCCCTTGAGGCCTCACACAAACCTAATATTCCACAAGTGCTCTATGTAGCTGCTTAGCCTTTGAAAACCAATATGTGCCTTCACTTAAACTTTGATCTGAAACTTTGTTGTATTGTTTGATGTGCTTTTCAAGTTTCAAGCAGGGTTTTTTTTCCAGCAGTATCACTTGATTTAGCTTACAATATTTGTAAATGGCTTGTAAACCCTGCCTCACCCACTTTCTTCTAATCACAATCAGTTCTAGAGTAAGCATTATAATGTTTTCAATCAAACAGATGTTCCTCCTAAGGTTTGCAAGTTATCTGCATCCAAAAGCATGTTTGCTTTTGTTTTTCTTTCTGGCAGAATCATTTGGTCCGTTGTAAGATGCATTTTGCCCCTGTATAGGAGCTTGCTTGCTTTCTGTAAGCCACTGTAGCTGCAACAACATTACAGGAAAGGGTTTTACTTTTCCAGTACTGTCTTTGTGCATTAAACTGCATTTTTTAGCTGTTAGCTACCTGTTTAATATACATCTATATATATATGGGTAGCTGTTAAGTGTGTTTGTAAAACCACAGAAACTTGCAGAAAAACTGGCAATTTGCAGCACCTGAAACAGCTTCTTTGCCCTCTTTATTTTATTTTTATTAGCCTCTTGATCATGTTGAAAAGCATATTTTTTTAACATCCATAGAAAGGAAGTCAGAAATGTGCATTTGGAGTTTATACATGTAAAATACCCAAGGCATGAATGTCTTGAACTGATTTGCTGAAGGATTACATAATTGGCTGGGGTGACAGCTCAGCCCAAATGAATTTTCATTCACCCAGTCCTCCTCTTGCAGACAGTGTTGTCTTAGGAACTTCAGGTTTAACCCCTTCTATAGAAAAACTGAGGCTTAGTTCTTAGTTAAGGAGGTCTTACAAGCTTGGGTGTGTAAATAAACTGAAATTTAAGGTCTCAGGGCATGGGAAGAACAAGTGGGACAGAAAAGCTGGAGAGTTTGGGCATGAGACCACTGAAGCAGAGATTATAGGAAAGCTCAGGAGTAGGAGGATTTCTTCAGGAGGTGAATGAGACAGAGGCTGTGAATCCAAGATGTGTGGCTTCCCCCAGAAAGTGGTAGGAGGTAGTGCCTGAGACTGTACCAGCAGCCCTGGGGTAACAGTTAAGGAGACAGAGCTGGGTGTTGGCATCACTCATTTTTTCAGCAGTTGACTTCTGTTCCTGTGAGCTCACGCTCCTCATCTGTTGTCTCAGTTTTAATTTGATGCACAACAAACATGAAAAATGGGAGCTACTGTGATACAGTCCCTCAACAAAATGGCCCAAGTCAGTGGATGTGGGGATTTTTTAAATGTTGTTTTGGGACCTGTGGGATAGAGATTAGGGTGAAGGACAGGAAATAGTTCTAAAAAAATCAAACCCCCAAACCAAAACCCACTTTCCACCAAAGCACTTTGCATAATTGTAAGCTGAATAGCAGAGGATGTATTTGACATTCAGAAACAGACTTATAGGTGGGAAGAAACAGAGCTGGGATGATTGTGTGGCTGAGCCAAAAAGCTGAACTGTACTCTACCCTTAACCTGAGGGGTTCTGTTAGACTGGTCTGTTTGTTGCTCAGTGTGTTTGGTGACACTGGGAATAATTTCACCTACACATCTTCGTAAAGGGTTTTTACTTGTATTGGTGAAAGACAAAAATAAGCATATCACAGTACAACTGCTTCAGAAATGGACTAGTCTAGAGGAAATGCGCCCTTGCAAAAGGGCAAAGATTGATAATTAGTCTCTGATTGTAGTCTGCAGATGCTATTTGTGTTCACTCAGGACCAGCACTGCAAAATAGACATGTAAAGTGTAGTTTCCATTGGGAAAGTGTAGCTATGTCCTAGAGACATAGCACATTGAATATAAATATCCAATGTATGAGAAATGCTGTACTGATTGTTGTTTATTTATGTATGGAGCTGGTCCAACTAGTGTAGGAAAATGTATCTAATAACTATGAGAATTGAGCTAGAAGTGAACATCTGCCAAACATGATCTAGAATTTTTTTTTAATGTTGTTGTGACTTTGTAAGTATGAAGGCTAAAATTCATGTGTTTTGTTTGTTTAGGGTTTCCAGCTCTCTTGCAAAATTCAAATGTTTTTTCATGCCCCTCCCTCATATCACACATTGTCACACAGGATTTCAGGATTTGTCATCTTTCTCTTTTTGCTTTGCAATCCTTCCCTTCCTCCCTCTCTCCTCTCCTAATACGTGCTTTTCAAATCTTGGGTCTGAGAAAGGGGCAGGCTTAGTCACTGCTTGTGTAGGAAACTCCTATTGAGGAGCTGCCCGTTTTCTGTGTGCACCCTGTTGGCAAAGCTGCACAAAAGGATGTGAAACTTTGGCTAAGAAGGGAAATCTCTACTTGATACTGTTCTCATCAGCACCACAGGGTGGTGGTAAATCCTCACAAGCTGAGGATACCCATATCCTGAATATTTTACAGTGTAGCCCTGACCAGTTAATAAGGTTTCAGTCTGAGCAGGTTCAGCGTGACGTATTGGCAATATGATTTATGTAAGTGGTGTCTTCTAACTGTGGGAGAGCTTGAACCATCACTGAGTTTTGCAAGGCACAGATTACTATGGAAGCAGAACTTTTTTTAATGAGCACTAAGCTAAATGTGGAAAGCTGACAACTGCAGCTAGACCAAGATGTTCCTAATGCAAACTTCTCTTATCAAAGAGCAATTAGATGTGCCTGCTTGAAAACAAGAGGGGAAAATGGCCCAGTTGTCATCAAACTGCCCACATGGTGGCACACTTATCCCATGGACAGAGTGTAGTTAAAACCCCATCTGCCCTCTCAACCCCTCCAATATAATGGCTACAATCTTTAATGTTTGTCATAAAAAATAAGAGCTTCCAGTCTTTAAAGGGCTGACCTCCTCATGGGTAAGTGCACCTCTGCAGTGTTCCTCACTTTAAAGATTGGTGTTTTTTGAAATGAGAGGGATTTTTTCTTTTTTTTCCTCTGTAACCGTGATTAAGCAAAGTGATTTTATACGTGTCTGAACTTTTACATTTTTCTAATTGCTGTGTGTGGGGTTTTTTCCTTCTCTGTGCCAGAAACACCGTGGTGCTCCCCCATTAAAGTGAAACATGGTTATGCAAACTGCAGGACACCTCAAGGGGAATATTACAAGAATGTGCTGGGCACAAGATGTGATATTCGCTGTCAGAAAGGCTACGAACTGCATGGCCCTCACCAGCTCATTTGTCAGTCAAACAAACGCTGGTCTGGGAAGGTGCTGTGCAAACGTAAGTGGTTACAAAATCTCTGTGTGTGTGACTTGTGCTCCAGGTTCAGACAATAAATTCTCAGTTGCCATTGAAACTGATCTTTGGATTGTTTTTTGTTTTTTATTTTAAAGGTTGGCAGTATGTTTGGAGATGTAGATTAGTTTGTTGTTGAGGATCTCACAGGGGTATGTGACATGTTAAGCATCTCAGTGGTACATACACTCTTGTCAGATAGGGAGTATTTTATCAATGTGAGATTTTGATTTGTGGGATTAGTTTTATGACAGAACCATGAAGCTGTTTTAAAATATTGCCCATCTTAGACTTTATAAGTTGACACAATTTGTACCAGGTGTCTAAATGGGCTCTTACAGCAAAACGTTTTCTGAGAAAAGAGGAATTGGTACTTGTCATCCCTTTTCTCATAAATATTGTATCAGGCCACTAATGCTTATGTAGTGTTACGTAGTGTACTCTGCTGTCTTGCAGAGTAAAAAAAGCAAGTACCGTAAGCAGCAAAGAAAAGAGGCTAAGTTAGCACTAAAACTTTTTTTATTCCAAGAATGCAAAGTAGTTGTTCCATAGAGTTTCAAGTCCCAGTTGTTGCCTAGGATTACAAGTCCCAGTAAAAGTAATACCAAGATTTAAGTTGTGGTAATACTGCATAGTTTGGAAAGGTCCCTTCAAATCTTGTGTGCACACAGTTCCTATATGCAAATAGTGAGATCTGCTATTAGCAGACTGTTTAATAAGGTTATATTTTGAAATGCAGCTAATGAGAACAATGTGGAAAATCCTCACATGGAACAAGACTTTCTCCCACTTGTAGTTTGCCAGCCATGTCTTTATTTCTCTGTAGTACCCCACATGCGCATTACTTCAGAGGGAGGGTATGAAGTTCCCATAAGTCCTTGTTTCCTTTTCCAGAAAAGCGTTGCCCTACCCTGTCCATGCCAGCCAACGGGGGCTTCAAGTGTTTGGATGGTGCCTACTTTGGCTCGAGGTGTGAGTACTACTGCTCCCCAGGGTACCAGCTGAAGGGGGACCGCATCGTCACCTGCATGGACAACAAAGTCTGGAGCGGCCGGCCAGCCGCCTGCATCGGTGAGTGGGTGTTTGGTCTGCATCCTGAGGTACCTGCCAGTGCCTAAGTCCTGCACACATAAATTCCAAAAGGCCTTTTTATCCAGTTCATGGCGAGAAAAAGTGACTGTCCCTCTTAAAGAAGCAGAGAACAGTTTTCCAAGGTGCGAGGTTCTGTCACTCAGTGCTTTCAGTCCAGAGTGAGTATCCAAGCATTACCACTTTAATAGAGATGAGCCTGGTGTAAATGGCCAGCACTTTACAGTGCTTGTAACGGCCTTTGGTGATTCCTGAGTGACTCCTGGGTAGCCTGTGATTACTGTGCTGCTCTGCCAGCATGTTCTCTATGCTGGAGTCGGTCACTTTCTCTTCTGCTTAATGAGTGAAAACAGGTTTGAAAGTAAGCCTGTTGTCTGAACTGTTTTTCTTCTTGGGATCATGGTCCTGAAATATATCCAGAGAATTATATCCAGGATTGTAGTTACCAGCATGGTTGCAGTGAGCTAATTTAAATTTCAGCCTAGTTCACTCTAGTTATGCCAGCGATTTTCATTACATAGTCAGTGGTCTCCTGGGAACCTTGGCTGGAAGAAGTATTCCTATATATGTAAATCTGAAGAGAGAGGAACAAATATTGAGATTTAACTTTCCTGACTACTAATGAAATTTCAGCACATAGCAAAGTCTCAGCTTGCTGCCCCTGTTTCTGGGAAGCCTCTGATAAAAGCTTCGGCAGCCACCCACAAAAGAAAATATTTTTTGGCCATCTGAAATTTAAATTTAATTTTTGGTCATTGGTAATTTAAAGCATGTGGGTGGTAGGGTGTTTGCTCTTAGTGTCTTGTATGTATGATAACTTGGTTTTCCTCAGAATGCCTGTGTCTCAGTCTAGGTTTGGAGCCTCTCCATGGTGGCCTGATGTTCATAAAATATTTTTCAGGTTTCCTGTTATTTGGTGTTGTACAAATGTAGGAATGAGCTGCTTAGGTCTAGACTGTGGTGTCTCTTTGTTTGCAAAAACAAGCTTTGTCTTTCTCAGTGGTGTGGGCAGAGGAAGAAAAGCATTTTAAATTTGGAAATGATAAAATACTGTCCTCTGTATTTCCTGGCACTTTCAGAAGCTCATCTGTTTGCAGAGATGGTGTGCTTGTTACAAAGGATACTGTATTGCAGAGTAAAGTAAGCAAGCACCTTAAGCAGCAAAGAAAAGAGGCTAAGTTAGCACTACCACTTCTCTTTTATTCCAAAAATGCAGAGTAGTTATAGTTGTAGGGTTTCAAGTTGTTGCCTAGGAGTACAAGTCCCAAGTAACCCAGTAAAAGTAATATTAGAATTTAAGTAGTGGTAATAATGCATAGTTTGGAAAGGTTCCTTCAAATCTTGTGTGCACACAGTTCTTATATATGATAGTGAAATCTGCTGTTAGCATTAATAAGGTTGGGGGAGCAGTGAAATACAAAGGCAAAAAGGCTGCTTGATTTCTTAACTTTGTTATACAAACAATTGCAGTGTGTACAGTAGGGATGCTACTTGTGATCAGAGGCATGGGCTGGTAAACTTCATGTCATGGAACTGTCCTGGGGATTCCACAGTTTTTGGCATTGAGTATGGCTAAAATTACCATCAGAGCTGAACTTAAAGTGCTCTTGAAAACAAGGGGCTTTCCTCTACCCTTTTATACTGCAGTTGCACTGCGTAGTATTTTTGCACTAAATTATGTGGGCTTCGCAGAGCAGCAGTGAAGATCCATGTAGGAAAGGCTATCAGTAGTCAAACATGTATTCATTTAAAGGAGGGAAAAAAAGATATATATATTTTTTAATTAGATAAGTTCTACAAGTGACTTACAGAAGTCCTTGTAGTCAGTGAGTATTCTGTCGTAACAAAGCAGACTGTCTCCTGTCCCCACCCTGTAAGAGGAGGGATACCCCTCATGTTGCTGAAATAATTTTGATTAAAAGAAAAAACAATGTACAGCTGGTTTTGGTTATCAGTTAGCTAAAATGCCAATACTCACTTGAATAATATTTCCATTATATCTTTAATGCACTGTAACATTTATTGAAATAGATACTTTCCTCTAGAAGATTGAGAAATGTTGCTGTCTTTTCTTCTGGAAAGATTGCCTTTTCCTGCTGACTGTATAACAGAGGTTGTTTTAAATGGCTTTTACCAAACTAAATCATCCTTTTGTCACATCCAGAGGCTGTATTGATAGGATGCTTGTCCTAGTAGTGCTGGCTACTGATGTAAGACATGATTGTAGGAGTTACTAGGAAAAAATCAAATGCAGCATTGATTCTCCACAAAATGGTAATTACCAGTCTTCTGTTTCTCATTTTGCCATTACTGCAGGAAAAATAATCAGCATGTTAAGAGTAACATGCAAAGTTACTGTGCAGAGACAGATTGATGTTCAGTGTGCTTTAAAAATGCTCTTAATCACTTTAACTACTGCACAGATGGACAAAGAAAAGAATGCAGATAAACAGAGCATCCAGGCTCCTTGGCTGTGATCTTGGACATCCCTCCTTGGAGTTCAAAGCCATTCATTTGTCAACTTTACTTTTTAACTGAACTATGTACAGAAATTTACAGTAACTACTTCTAGTTGGGCTTTCTGCACTGCAAAGGGCTGATCATTGTCGGCTCTTCTTAAAAAAATGTGAGAAGTAGAGGCTCTGAGTAACTTGGTTTGGATGAATCCAGGGCTGAGGAGGCCAGCTGCAGGTGGTCCTGGGTTACCCTGACACCGGGGAAGGAGCTGTGAAGAAAATACACAGCTCTAGCAGATGTTCCAGTGCCCTTTTCTGTGACATTCATTTCAACAGATACTGAACCTCCGAGGATCCAGTGCCCGAGTGTGAAGGAGAAAACCGCAGAGCCCAACAAGTTGACAGCCAGAGTGTTCTGGGACACCCCGGAGGGACGAGACACTGCTGACGGGATTCTGACAGAGTAGGTGAAAATCTCTATGTGTTTGCATCCTCTCCTTCTTACTCCTTTGTTAGCAATTCAGCAGGCCAGGTACCCTTTTCCCTTCATTCATCCAAGATGCTTTTTTATAGCTGTCACATACCGCTGCTCTATAGTGAGTTGCATGTTTCACTGGAAAAGCTGGCAATTTGGAGGTGAGTTGTTCAGGAGCTGGTTACCCAGTTGTGGTTATTTAGAGCTGGTGGAATAAACCACAGCAGCATTTTGACTGTACCTGTGAAGTTTTCCAGAGCTTCTTTGCGAGTCTCATAATTAACAAGTTTTCTTACACCAAGTTACCTTTTGTACGTAACAATGAAAACAGAGTAGTGCATTGGAGGTAACAGAAGAGGTAAATTTGACTGTCTAAAAAAAAACAAAACAAGGTGTGTCACAAAATAATGTCTGCAGCCATCTTCAGGTTTCTTCATAAAGTAGTGCTGGCCACTGATGTCCCAGGATTCTGCGGTTACCCTTAAACTAACAATTCTTGTTTGTAGCCTTGATGGATTTAAACACTGTATCTAGACATAACACTTCAAAATTTCCTTGTCAGTTTCTATGGTTTCATAGTCCCATTTTCCAGAAGAACAGGGTGTAATTCTGGTGGTACTACTGTCTCTGATTTTCCCATTTTTATAATGTGGGATTTAGGTCAATCTGTCTGGATTAATGTAATGGTGGGAGCATGGAAAATCGGTTTCTATCAGTAAGCAAGTTGCATCATTACATTAGTGGACCAGTTAAGCTTAGAAGCTCAAAGTTGTTAAGCTTGAAGATGTTTACAGTTTCATGTGAATACAAAAAAACTAATGAAAGACAATGGTATTGCCCTTTTATTGCTGTAATTTAATAATTTCATAAAGAATTCATTACATAATTAAAAGCTCAATTGCCATTAAGGTCTGATGTAACAATTTGGTGACAATTAATAACATCAGAAACTACACATGGTAAAGTAAAAACTTGGAAAATGTCAGGATGAAGAAATTCTGAAGTCTTTTTGGCAAAGGAAGGTCTGATGATAGGCAAAAAAAGGGGGAATATCCCATGCTGACTTTGTCATATGAGTAACTTTTGTCAGCTCAGAAGAGCCAAGCTCTTGATTCAGTGGAAGCTTCTCCATAAGTCACATCTCTATAAAATACTGCTTAACTGTGATGTTTATATTATAGAGTATGCAGTGCTTTTCTTAAATGCACAGTCCTTCAGTTTCAGGAGTACAAAAGATTTTCCATTACATGGAAACCTGTTTGGTTGCATACTCTCTGCTTCTATACTGAGATTGTTTTATTCATCTGAATTCTCCCACCTTGTTTGTAGGACAGGGGAAAATTCCAGGTGAAAATGCTGCTGTAGATCACCATACCCTAGTGCTGTGACACTGAATCTCACTTTCTGTTCCAATTCTGTTCATATTAACAGTCACAAATACCAATCATAGGAGCAGTTCAGAGCAGACAGATGGGAATACATCCCCGCTGTAAGAGGCTGGAAGTTTTCTTTTTTAATGTTGACTTCTTATGAAAGGAGAAGGAAGCTTGAGTTCCTCTGAGCATGATGGGCTTGGCTACTCCATGCATTGTTTTATAGGAAGGGGGCAGACCCTGCCCATTCTAACCCCCTTGTCTCAGCAGGGTGGGCTGTAGGTAGCAAATTTAAATACTCTGGTTGCTGGTGCCCAGCTTCTTCCTTCTCAGATCTTCTGTTCTGCAGGCAGCAAGACAGTCCTAGCATGGCAGTCCCTCTGCAGGCTTTTACAGCATTGTGAGTGAATAAATACTGGTGAATTTATGAATGTCTGCCCTGTTTTATCTCTTGGTTTAGTGTTATTTTGAAAGGCCTGCCACCAGGGTCACATTTTCCAGAAGGCGACCACAAAATCCACTATACTGTGTATGACAGAGCTGAAAACAAAGGCACCTGCAAATTTCTTGTTAAAGTCAGAGGTAAGGATGATGTTTTACCCTGTAAATACAGACACTGACTTGCACCTGTCTTAGTAGCCAATTTGAAAATGTCCTCATTTCTGTATTTATGTGCATATGTCTCTGTATATAAACCCCTATGATGATGCTGAAAGAGAAAATGGAGTCTTGCTGAAGACCCTGGGGGCCAGGTCTGCAGCATTCCTGCACGTGCAGGAAGAACTGCTTTGATCAGCCCTGCCTCCAGCTGCACACCCCTTCTGCCAGCTTCTCCATGATGCATAGCCTGTGAGCTGCTGAAATGAGGAGGTGAAGGCATTTTTTTCAACTGAGGCTCACGTATCAAGCAGGGCTGCCCTTTCACAGGTTAACCTGTGGAGCTGAATATGCAGAAGTGACCCATAGTTTTCAGCTTCAGCCCTTTGTGCTCCATGACCTTTTGTTACATGTATACACCTACACACATTTCATTTTACGTAAGAGTGAGGGGTGGGGGAGTTCAGGTTGATTGTTTGGGGGTTTTAAGTACATGACTAATAAAACAGAAAGCAAACAGAAAAATGTCTTTAATACTGGTATTCCACTGACCTGTTCTACCTTAGTAACAAATGGTGATTCATGCTGTGTCTTTCATTTTGGTTTTTTTTCCTCTTGCTCAAAGTCAGGCGCTGTGTGAAGTTAAATGCCCCAGATAATGGCTACATCAAATGCTCAGGTGATGGAAATAACTATGGTGCTACCTGTGAGTTCTCCTGCATTGGTGGCTATGAGCTGCAAGGAAGCCCAGCCCGAGTCTGCCAATACAATTTGGGGTGGTCAGGAGTGGAGCCAACCTGTGCACGTGAGTATTTCACCGCTCCACCAGGAGGAATTCAGCACAATGGTTCTTAGGGCAGTGAGAATTTGGGAAGGGGGTGTGTAGTGGAATACAGCTGCAGTGTCCCAGAGGTAGGAGACTTAACATCATCTTTGTCTCCCTTCCCAGTCTGCACTTAATGGCTGAAGCCTTTGCCACCTTTGACTGCTCTTTCCTAGAGTTTTTTTTTGTTCAAAGCTTTCTACAAGATGTCACATTCTGGAGTCGTTCCATTGTGCAAGCTGGAACAGTCTGCAGTAAAATTGTTGGCTTCAATGAGGCCAGAATTTCACGCATATCTTCATTATTATTATTTCTTGTTCTTGTGTTTCTACTGTCTAACTCTGCCTCTAGAAATGGATCTGTTTTCAGTATGCTTCATAACTTTTGTTTTAATTTTATTCCAGCCATGAATATTAATGTGAATGTTAGGACTGCAGCTGCACTTCTGGATCAATTTTATGAGAAGCGGAGACTGCTAATTATTTCAACTCCTACTGCAGCTAACTTCTTCTACAGGATGCAGCTGGGGATGCTGCAGGTAAAACACATTTGAGGGGGATGTGCAACTGTTTTTTTTCTTTAAAGACCCAAGAAGACAAGCTCCACTGTTTAAAATAAATCCACAAACTTCAGCTGTGATATTGTAGCCACTGTAAGATCTGGCTCAAGCAGTCATAGTTCCAGATTAATCCTTTTCACAGGGGTTTGAGTTGAGATATCCCCCAGTCACTAACTCAGCTCCATTCTGGATTGTGCTGCCTCTGACCAGTCACTGAATCCCAGGCAGTTCTGGCTCTTCCATCCTCCTCAAATTTATTTAACTCATGCTCAATAATAATTCCCTTTCTCAGCTGCTAAAGAGGTTTAAAAAAAACCCAAACCCAACCCTCCAGCTCTTCAGCAGCTCATGGAGACCAGGCTTACAGAATTTGCAACTACAGTGCAAGGGAGTAAAAAGTGCACCAGCAAACAAAGGACCAGAGACACAGCACAGAAATCATCCATAGTGTTTGAGATGACACTAGGGTGTTTTGTTCCAAAAAACCCAAAACACCTGTTACTTTTCCTTATGTGTTGTAAGTGTGATGCCCTTGTTGGCTTTTTGCTAGACTTATGGATAGATCTCCAAAATATATGTGTGTCCTCAGGAAAGGGAAGGAAAAGAACTAGTCCTGTATTCTTTCACAGCTACAAGTGCTTCTATCTCGTTTTTTTTTCTCACCAGTTGTAACAAAATTCAGTATAAATAGTTACTGAGATATGAATGTGATGATTTTTTAACTGCTGGCTTATATTATGGTAGTATGTAAGAAAAAAAACAAGAAGAAAGAAGAAAAAGAAGAAGCTCCTTTTCCCTATTAGATAAACTTGGCAAGAAAATTCAATATATTGATCAAACTGAATTTAATGGCTGTAGTACATTTTCCATTTCTTGACAGCAAGCAAATGAGTTGGCATGGAAGAAAACTTTCTGCTGTCAACTTCTGTTTCATATAATTTGCTTTGGTTGCCAAATTAGATTATTGGTACAATGCTTTAGACCCTGGCATCTTTTCTTATAACTAGGGAAAAGTAGATTTTTTTCCTAGGTGGTCCCTGTGTGCTGGTTTTCTTAGAGTATTTGAGAATCTGTTACTTAACCTCCCCTGCAGTCATAAAGCTTCAGTTCTCTGCCACGAGAATTTAAATGTTTGCAAAGTATGCTCTCAAATCAGTTGAAAACATGTAAATAACTTCAGAAGAGGGGACTCTGTGAACACTTGCTGCACACTCAAAACATCCCCCTGTTCTCTCAGGGATAACCACCACCCCTCTTTCTCCTCTTAACCCTTGCAGCCGGCACAGTGTGGGTTAGACCTGCGACACGTCACCTTGGTGGAGTTGGTTGGTGTGTTCCCAGCACTGATAGGAAGAATAGGAGTGAAGCTGCTGCCCCCATCACTTGCCCTGCAGCTCAGGTAAAGGAAGCTCTCACTGCTGTTGTGTTTGCACCTTACCCTACAAGCTGCATTGTTGTGATCCCTGCACTTTACTCTCCAAATGCACGTATTCTACTGGAATGTACACAGCTAGACACTGTAAAGTAGATATTGGTGAGCACACTTGAGGATTTATTTGCTCTCTGTGTAATAGCTACAGCAAATTAAAACACAGCAGCAAATTTATTTATTTATATATTTAATACGACTCTGTTCATAAGCGTGTAAGTTTGTATTTTTGGGTGCTGCCACTGAAAACACTTCAGTGTTTTTACTGTCTGTATTCGTATTGGAGTTGCTTTGCAAGGACAGCCCCAAATGGCAGAGACAGCCCATCCTCTGCACCAGTGCTTGTGGTGGTTGTGGCCAGGCCTAAAGGGGAGGCAGTGAAAGGGGAAACTCTTTGAAGTCCCACATGTTGGAGTGGGATGGGCAGTATTTCAAAGAGGAAATTATCTCAGCCTCACCAGCCTGACTGCAGCATCAGCAGTTTTGCTGAGGTGCCTAAACTGTTTTGACTTGGGTTTAGACTGGCAGAGGATTGGTTTTCACTTGAAAAGGAGACTTCAAATGCCAGCATTTCCTAGGGACTGGAAGTGAAAAAAAGCCAAAAGGGATGGCCTCATTGGCAGGGAAAGAAAGAGCTGTTTAGAAAAAAGTCAAGGAGCATTTTAGGCAGCATAATCTTTGATATGCCTGAGGAAAAGGAGTAAGTTTTAATTGGAGACAATGAAAATTGCTGACATAGCAGAGAGGGGATTTTTTAAAAATTATTAAAAAAACCCTGTTCTCAATAAAAGAAAAAGGAAAGCAAAAAAAAAAAACCACTTCCTTTTTTGAATAAAGATACTTTTACTGAAGTTGAAATTATTTTCTTGTGGCTCTGTAGAAAATAATAAGCTCTCTTAACACCTCATTCCCTGATGCCCTGCAACCTTTAATGAGGCTGCATTTCAGAAATTGGTATGCCCTGCCCTGCACTCAGTGAAAGTTAGTTTTCCATTGATTTTTTTCTTTGTTGCTGCTTAGTGTGTGAATTATAGTTTTCCAGTTCTGCAAGGTGCTCAAATCAATATGAAATGCACTCTTAAGAATAAAGGTGTTCAGAATTGACATTTCAGTAAGCTAATGAGCACAGGTACCCCAGTTAAAACTTCGGAAAGCACAGAAGATTAACATTTGGATTTTTAGGAGCATTTTTTCTTAGATGGTATATGGCACAAGGTGAATGTGGTTTTCTATCACCATTGCTTAGCTTTAATCTTTATTTTAGTTTTAATGGCCAAGCTTCCTAATGGCAACAAGACTATGCTTAGAGCACTCAGACTTGTTAGGAGGCTGTGGAAGGCCAATTTTGGTGCTTCACACCTTTCCAAAATGCCCCAGACTCTCCTTCATGGCAGCTTTCTCTCATTCTCTCATGGCTGCCCGAATTTATTTACCCCACACTAACAATGACTGACTTCATATCTAAGGATCTTCTGATATATTACTCCTTCAAGCAAAAGATGAAAAGAGGACTACAGATAAACTTTTGTTACTTACTCAGCTTTTGCTACTTGAGGAGTTCAAATGACCACTTCCACCACTTTGGAAGAAGGACTCCTCCGTGATTAGCAGTGGCTTTTATTCCTCTAAAATTTGAGTCACAGATGATTATTACTTTTAGGTAACAGTGAAAGCAGACTCCAAGAATTTTGTCCTGCTTTTTCTTACTGTGATTTATATACTACCATGGAAAGCCAAGAAATGGAAGCCAAGAAAGGGAATAGTCTTCCTTGTAACTCAAGCTTCATCACAAGGGTTTTCTTTAGGCAATGTTCACACTACTTTTTTTGTCTAACCTTGTTTCACTCTTGTGACAGCAGTGGGTAATGGCAGAGAACAGAGCTGGGTGCAGTCACTTTGACACTCCCCTTATGTGAAGGCAGGAGCTGCAGCACACGCAGGCACCTCCTCTTTATCTGGCTCATTGTTAATGCTGAAACCATCTGGACTCTGTATAGCCCCTGTGACCATCCCCACCTTCCTCTGCTCAGACTCAAGAGGCTGGTGCTTCCCTTTAACAAAATCAGTTCCTTACTTTGCAGGCTGCTGCTGAGGATCCCCTACTACAATTTCAACATCGTAGTGATGGACAAGCACGGCATGGACAAGGAGCGCTACCCTTTCCCAGCAACACCTGCTGAGCTCTTTGCCCTTATTGACAAATTCCCCTTGAGAAAAGATGAGATGAAACTGCAAGCAGAAATTGGTCAGTCATGTCCCTAATTCAGCATTCCAGGGCCTGCAGTTGTTGGTGAATTTTTTTTTTATCTACATAGTTCTCCCCTTGGTGCTAAACAAAACATGGCTTTCTTAATCACTGATGTGAATGTTTGTGTGTATTAGTAAATCTGTCCAGCCATGTAGCTGCTCTGCATAGAAGGGTGCACGATGCTCTTTTGTACTTTCAGTCGTCTTTAAATCATGGAGTGGCCTGGGTTGGAAGTGACTTTAAATATCAAGTTCCAACCCTACTGCTATGGACAGGGACATCTTGCACTATCCCAGGTTGCTCAGAGCCCCATCCAGCCTGGCCTTGAACACTGCCAGGGATGGGGCATCCACAGCTTCTCTGGGAAACCTGTGCCAGGGCCTCACCACCTGCGCAGTGAAGAGTTTTTCCCTAATATCTAATCTGAACCTGTTCTCTTTACAAGCTGAAGCCATTCCCTCTTGTCTGTCACTCCAGACTCTTGTTAAAAATCCCTCTCCATCTTTCCTGTAGGCTCTGTTCAGGGACTGGAAGGCCAAAATTAGGTCATCCCTAAGCCTTCTCTTTTCCCGGCTAAACAGTCCCAATTCTCTCAGCCTTTCCTCATAGGAGAGGTTCTCTATTCCTCTGATCACCTCTGTGGCCTTCTCTGGACTTGCTCTGACAGGTTGATGTCCTTTCTCCTGCTGGAGACCCCACAGCTGGATGAATGTGGATGTAGGATTTACTACCTAATGGAATTTCTTGTACAGAGAGTGAAGAACTGTGGCATGTTTCTGGGAGTTTATTTTGGATGTTTCATTCAGTGTAAAATTGGGGTTTATTTCTTACTGTTTATAATTCTTTTTATTAATAAAATATTGTTTTGTGTAAAAATATTTTATATATTAGTAAAGGTCTATCTGCACAAACTAGTCTTTGAAGTAAGTCGTGATATTAAAGGCTAAAGTCCTTGAAACCTTCCTGCAGAAGAGAGAGTAAGGCAAAACAATATCCTTGTGTACAGGAGAAAAAATGCAAACCTGTGTGCATTAGCCACTAGCAACTTGCTTAGCCTGCGGACCCTGTAGAACCCTATAAAAGTGTGCTAAAGATAGAAATAAATGGCGTTCACATTTACTTCTGTGAAGAGTGGTGAAAAAGCTGGTGGTCTCTCAGTATGTGGTGCTTTGAACGGGACACCCTGCGGGCAGGAGTCTTCGGTGTGTCCACGCACGGTGGGATGGAGCCTTGGACCGAGGCTGGTGGAGCGGATCTGAGCACAGATAGACGCTGCCTTGGATCGGTACCGGATGGGCGACCCGCGGATAAAGGGGAGTGAGTCGCTGGGGGAGTCCAAAGGCGGAGGAGTAAGAGAGGGGTCGCTACCCTCCCCCAGCCATGGACACAGGGAAAAATGGATATGGAGTCTGCAGCAGCTAAAAAACTGCTCCTTTGTATTCTCGTTAAACGAGGCAAAACAGCCTGGGAAAAGGACCTGGATATGCTCATTATATGGACTAATAATCACAGGCATTTAGCAGTGCCCTCACTGCTCTTTACGGTAGAGGTATGGACGGATTTAAGGGCTCTGATCTGGGAAACGGCAATCACGGAAATAATAATTAGTTAAGAGAACTTTACTGTACAAGACAAAGTTAAGTTAGAGCATATATTAGCTATTTGCTGTTTTCTCCACAGTTTTAATAAGGTAATTTAATAATTTCAATGCGAGTCCTTTTATTATATACAACACATAAAACTGCATATATACCAATTTGGATTTTGGATTTTAGTTTAAGAGTTGGACTTGATGTTTCTGAAAAGTGCTACAAAAGCTGAATGGCAACTTGGCCAAATCCTGTGTTGTTGTGGTTTTTCTCTAGAAAAACTGCACTTTAAAATCCTAACCAATTTAAGCATATACTAGGCAAATTTGTATTATGAATAAGTATTTTTAGTAACATTTGCAGTTATTGTGAGTTATTCCCAAAGCTAGATGACATAGAATTGTGATGTATTTGTTACATTTTTATAATCTTTATAGTGAATCCATGTTACTGTTATATTGTGTTTAAAAGGTATATATCAAACTTTTAGTTGCCTTTTTGTAGTAACAGAATAAGATTAAGTTATGTTTTTATTTAATATAGATTAAGTGTTAATAGAATTAAGAATAGTCAAGATTTATTATGTTTAGGCTTGAATGTTTTTAAGTTAAGTTTTATAACTTAGATATTCTTTTAAGGTTAAGTCTTGTTATTCCCTTTTGTTATGGATGCTAAATGTGAAGCAGGGAGCAAAGTGTCTGTGGAAATTGAAGGCCACATAACTTTCTCAGTCTTGCCTGAGAAAGTGGCTTGGGAAATCATAAGGAGGAATTAAAACAATCCTCAGAGACAGAAAACAGCCTTGCAGGTGCTGTTTGTCTGTTCCTTGTTTTCTGGCAAGAGAAAGTCGAGCGGTGGTGAGCCCCACTAACCAATGATGGTGATGTGTTAGTTTACTAACCAATAAGAGTTTCTTTTCTGTACTTTTCACGTATCTATAAAAAAGATCTGAAGCAATAAACTGAGAAAAATTCTCCTGATTGGCTCCCTAGAGAGTCTGTGTCGTTCTTCTCGCCGCGTTCCTAATAGAGCAACATTTTGTCATAAATAATTATTATTAGGTTTAAATATTGTTTAATTAAAATTGTTTATGTTTTATTGGAGACACTTGTCTAAACTGCAAAGTATAGTTATTTTCCTTGAGAAATGAAGATAGCTACAACTGAAACAGCTGTGACAGAACACTGGTGAACGCCTGCTTATGGATAGAAGTGAATGCAGTCTGTGACACCCTTGACTTCATCGGGAGTTCTGTTGTTTGTTGCAATCTCTGCAGTTTTTGTTTGTTATAGCTTTCTTATTTTTCAGTGTTTCCAGAATTTTAGGAAGATGTACCATTGCTGAAGATCAGCTGCCATGGGGGAGGCTTCAGATTAAACCAACTGCTGAATGGTTTAATTGGTCTGGTACCTAAGGCTTCTGATCATTTGCTTTGTACAAATGCATTTCATTTGCTGTGCTGTAAGCATCTCATAGCTGCTACTATTGAGAACCTTGTTTTAGAAACGAGTTAAGAGGCATCTTTCCAGTTTAAAAGTATTTGAGTCACTTCTTGACTCAGCAATTTGACCCTATTAATATGACAGCTGGATCAATTTTGAAGTGGGCTTGGAGAATCATTTCTGGAGGTGGTTATCCAATCCTTCACTGATTTTTTTTTTTGTTGTTTCTGTTTGTTTGCAGACTATGGGATTCTGGTGCAGTGTTTTAGTAATTAATAGTAGTTTTATATTACATATGTTATTAATAATGTGTATAATTTGATTGTTTTTAACTGCCATAGATTCTTATTCATTGTGTATGTAGTTTTGTGTTAATGTTGATGTGTATGACAGAAGTACATCTCATTTTTCTTTTTTTAAAAAAATGGAGGAAATTGATGCCCTAAAAGCATTTGATTAGTGTAATTCATTAACTTCAAGGAGAGAAGTGTCTGTGTTTTGTTGGCTGGTTCAAAAAGGTCACCTGTCCATCTGACCAGACTGTGTGCCTCTGAACACACGAGATCCAGTGAACAGAGAGGTCATCACACAGCCTTGGAACTCCAGACATGGATCAGAAGTGAACCTGTCAGGACACAGTTGTGTCTGAACACTACACAGACAGTTGCCAACAGAAATTTTATGTTGTTATTATGATGTTGTGTCTCTACCAATTTTTTCAGTTATCTTCTGTTTTAGGATTTAGGAGGATGTGAAGAACAACCTGAACATCAAAGCCCTCAGTCACCGATCAGCTGCCAGCTGACATCACAGGAGCAGTGAACGTTCCAGGACTGAATTGTGTTAAATCATAGTCTGTTTGTGAGAGAAATTCTGTAGAAGATCTAAGAAAAGTGTAGAGACTCCATCTAATTGTATATAAAGCAAATTGTAATTGTGTGTTTACCCTTTCAGCAAATTGCTTTCACACTTAGACTACATATATACCAGAGCACGTGTGTTAAAAGTAGTTAGATAATAGTTTAAGATAAAGAGTTTAGCCTGTGTAGTAATTGTTATGTTAGTATAAGTATTCCCCCTTCAAGAGCTAGTGTAAATACCTTTGAAAGTTCATTTAACATGAATGCCTTAATTGTGAGTCTACAGGCATGGTGTCATTTACATGGAACAAACTGCTTATAGTAATTGTGCTGTGTATAGTCCTGACCAACTGTCTGCTAACTAACATCCAAAAGTGACAGAACATATGGGTCACTCTGGCACATTTGATAGGCCAAAGGTCAATGTGTTTGAGCCTAGCCACACCTGGAGATCCTTTTTGCACCTGTCTCATAGGAGTCCCTGAGTGGAATCCTCCAGCATTTAAAGGTTTAGTTAGTAATGAGACTCGACTGAATGGATTGGCAATGTTGCAAGACTGCAGTCGCACTGTTGGCTTCACATGAAGACAACTTGAAGCCTGCTGTCAAGCGAAAATTATTGAAGTTCTCAATGTTACCATAGAGCCCCCAGAAGAATTAGATTTGTTAGGTTCCACCAATACCTCAGGTGGATGAATAATGTCCGAACCCCCAACAAAAGCCATTGTAACAAAGTAATGCAGCACTGGGCTGCAGTCAACCCTATAGCTGATCTTGTTACTACCACTGAAAGTAAAGCCTTTATTCACGGTGCAATCTCACAGGACAATTACCAAAGTGATTAATTAGTTCCATATTCCTAATCTGTGGAGATAAGAGCATGGAATGGAATTCCTGCTAGTCCACATAGAGGACCCTGTTATCTTAGGAAACTTACTTTGTTTTCATCCAAGCTTACACCAATTGCTGAATGTAGCTGATAAAATAAAAAACATCAAGCAGTCAAAGTGAAGCCTGAATGAATTAAAGCTTAGCAACTCTAAAAAGGCTCACTTGTTAGACTAAGAAAGAATTGAACTTAACATCCACAATGTTAAGTGAACTTTCAGCCGATGTGAGTAGTGTACATCATGCAGTATTACAAAATTGAGCTGCAATTGATTTCTTGCTCTTAGCACAAGGACATGGTTGTGAGGAGTTTGAAGGCATGTGCTGCTTGAATCTTACTGATCTTTCAGTCTCCATCCATAAGCAACTACAACAGCTACAGGATGGGTTACATGCCCTGAAAGAAGATAGTGACCCCATTGGAAGTTGGTTCACCAGCTGGGGCATCACTGGATGGTTGAGGTCTCTTGTGCTAGAAGGGGGACGGACTTTACTTATAATGTTATTGGGATGAAAGTCTAAGTTTTGTGTTATCTTGTCTTCATGAGACTATAGAATGAGTCACATCCAAAGCCTGGTTTGTGCAAAAAGAGAAAGGGGGAATTGTTGCTATATTTTATATATTAGTAAAGGCCTGTCTGCACAAACCAGTCTTTGAAATAAGTCGTGATATTAAAGGCTAAAGTCCTTGAAACCCTCCTGCAGAAGAGAGAGTAAAGCAAAACAAAATCCTTGTGTGTAGGAGAAAAAATGTAAACCTGTGTGTGTTAGCCAATAGTAACTTGCTCTGCCCGCAGGCCCTGTAGAACCCTATAANAGAGAAAGAAAAGAGTTAATAGAATTAAGAATAGTCAAGATTTATTATGTTTAGGCTTGAATGTTTTTAAGTTAAGTTTTTTAACTTAGATCTTATTTTAAGGTTAAGTCTTGTTATTCCCTTTTGTTATGGATGCTAAACGTGAAGCAGGGAGCAAAGTGTCTGTGGAAATTGCAGGCCACATAGCTTTCTCAGTCGTGCCTGAGAGAGTGGCCTGGGAAATCATGGGGAGGAATTAAAACAATCCTCAGAGACAGAAAACAGCCTTGCAGGTGCTGTTTGTCTGTTCCTTGTGTTCTGGCAAGAGAAGGTCGAGCGGTGGTGAGCCCCACTGACCAATGATGGTGATGTGTTAGTTTACTAACCAATAAGAGTTTCTTTTCTGTACTTTTCACGTATCTATAAAAAAGATATGAAGCAATAAACTGAGAAAAATTCTCCTGATTGGCTCCCTAGAGAGTCTGTGTCGTTCTTCTCGCCGTTCCTAATAGAGCAACATTTTGTCATAAATAATTATTATTAGGTTTAAATATTGTCTAATTTAAATTGTTTTATGCTTTATTGGAGACACTTGTCTAAACTGCAAAGTATAGTTATTTTCCTTGAGAAACGAAGATAGCTACAACTGAAGCAGGTTTGTTATAGCTTTCTTATTTTTCAGTGTTTCCAGAATTTTAGGAAGATGTACCATTGCTGAAGATCAGCTGCTATGGGGGAGGCTTCAGATTAAACAAACTGCTGCATGGTTTAATTGGTCTGGTACCTAAGGCTTCTGATCATTTGCTTTGTACAAATGCATTTCATTTGCTGTGCTGTAAGCATCTCATAGCTGCTACTATTGAGAACCTTGTTTTAGAAACGAGTTAAGAGGCATCTTTCCAGTTTAAAGCCTAGGCCCTGGCCAAGCCTTGACTTTACCTGGATGGAATGTTTGCCAACAGATCCAGATGTTTTCTGTACCAAATCAGTATTTGACTCACTTCTTGACTCAGCAATTTGACCCTATTAATATGACAGCTGGATCAATTTTGAAGTGGGCTTGGAGAATCATTTCTGGAGGTGGTTATCCAATCCTTCACTGATTTTTTTGTTGTTGTTTCTGTTTTCAGACTATGGGATTCTGGTGCAGTGTTTTAGTAATTAATAGTAGTTTTATATTACATATGTTATTAATAATGTTTATAATTTGATTGATTTTAACTGCCATAGATTCTTATTCATTGTGTATGTAGTTTTGTGTTAATGTTGATGTGTATGACAGAAGTACATCTCATTTTTCTTTTTTTAAAAAAATGGAGGAAATTGATGCCCTAAAAGCATTTGATTAGTGTAATTCATTAACTTCAAGGAGAGAAGTGTCTGTGTTTTGTTGGCTGGTTCAAAAAGGTCACCTGTCCATCTGACCAGACTGTGTGCCTCTGAACACACGAGATCCAGTGAACAGAGATGTCATCACACGGCCTTGGATCCAGACATGGATCAGAAACCTGTCAGGACACAGTTGTGTCTGAACACTACACAGACAGTTGCCAACAGAAATTTTATGTTGTTATTATGATGTTGTGTCTCTACCAATTTTTTCAGTTATCTTCTGTTCCTGCTGGCATGCAAAAATTATCAAAGTTCTCAATGTTACCATAGAGCCCCCAGAAGAATTAG